CCGGGCGCCCCCGCCATGTTCGCGGCGCCGCCGGTGCCGAGCGGGGCCGGCCCGGCCGAGCCCGGCAGGTGCCCCGGGGATGCTGCGAGCCCTGCCCGGCCCGCGGCGGACGCGCGGCACCGAGGGCCGGGGGTGCGCCCGGAGCGCGGCCGCTCACCCGAAATCCTGGTCCATGGACTTGAAGAAGAACTTGTAGCTGTGCACGGGCCGGTTGCTGAGGACATTTTTGAAATCGGCCAGCGTGACTTTCTCCGGCGGCACGGGCAGCTTCACCAGGTACGGCGTCTCCTCCTCGTCGATGTGGTAGATGATCTTGGTCTCCGCCATGGGCGAGCGGAGCGGGGGCGGCCGGCCCGGGCCTCGGCCGGCGCTCGGCTCCGCTGTCGGCCTTGCCCACAGGAAGGGAGCTCGCGGCTCGGGCTGGCGCTCCCTGCACTGCTCTCTAGCTGCCCGACCCGGGAACGGCAGCGCGCCCGCCCCGCCCGCATCCTCCGGCCGCCCCGCCGGCCTCGCTGCGCCGCCGCCGCCGCTGCGCTGCCCGGGCCGGGCGCGCCGGGCCCGGCCTGAGGGGAGCGGGGCTGCCCCGGGCAGCGCCCTCCGCCCGCTCCGCGCCCCCGCTCCGCGCCCGCAGCGCCCGCACACCGCCCCTGCCGGCCCGGCGGCAGCACGGCCCGGGCAGCGGGGATGGCGGGGCGGGGAGGGTGGGTGGGAAAGGGAAAGGGATGAGGAAAGGGCAGAGAATGGGAAAGGGGATGGGAATAAGAATGGGGATGGGGAAAGGGGAAAAGATGGGATGGGGACAAGAATGGGAACGGGATAGGGATGAGGAAAGGGAAGAGAATGGGAAAGGGAAAGGCGATGGGAATAAGAATGGGGATGAAGAAAGGGAAGAGGATGGGATGGGAAGGGACGGGAATAAGAATAGACATGAGGAAAGGGGAGAGGATGGGATGGGAAAGAGGATGAGGATGGGGATAAGGGAAGGGAATGGGCATGGGGAGGGAAAGGGTAGGCAGATGGGAAAGGGGTCAGGGAAGGAATGGGACTGGGGATGGGGAGGGAAAGGGAATGGGAGTGGGAAAGGGAAAGGGGATGAGATAAGGTGATGAGAATGGGAATGGGGAAAGGGAAGATGATGAGAATAAGGATGAGGAAAATGAAGAGGATGGGATGAAGAAAGGAGATGGGAAAGGAAATGAGAAGGGAACAGGGATGGGACAGGGAAGGGGAAGGGAATGGGGACAGGAAAGGGGATGGGAGAATGGGATAGGAATGGGAAAAGGGAAAGGGGATGAGGACGTGAAATGGAATGGAAATGGGGAAGGGGATGGGGAAGGGGATGGACAGGGATAGAAAAGGGACAGGACAGGGAAGGGGATGGGAGTGGGAATGGAGATGGGAAACAGGTGGGGACCACAGAAAAAACCTTAATTGCCACACAGATGATGTATTTGGAAAGAATTCACCTTTATTTCTAGAAATTCCCTGAAAATGACAACCAGAAAATGAAGATTTCAGAGCAGTGTCCTTAGGTCTTAAAGAATCTTTTGCTTATTAAAAAAAAAAAAACCTTTTCCAGTTAAACCTCAAGCTAACGATGTTCTCTTTTACCCTTGCGAGGCAAGGGCACATTCACTTCTCAGGATGCTCAGTTGCATCTGAAGGAAAAAAAATCACAGTGACTGAATTACCTGTGGCACTGCAAGGATTTTTCTACCAGCACCAAACAGAGGCCCAACTGTGTCAAAGGCTGCCAGAAAGTCTGGGAACGTTATTTTCAGTTTTCTGAAAGTTTAATCATTGCTACCAGCACCACCTGAACTGATACCACTCCCAAATTCTGCACAGAGCTGGGGCTGGATAATCCAGAATTTAACAAGGCTTAACAATAGTGAGAAACAAAAACATCAATTATCTCCTGCCATTGCTGGTACGGTGAAGTAACTCCAAAATCACATCCAGCTGACATTCCTACCACTCATCCCTGCTAAATGTGTGATCATCAAACAGGACAAACAGCAAGGTCAAGGCATGGCCTTACTCCTCATCATGTAACCACTGATTTGGTGCTGGTTTGAATCAGGAATCACCAATTTAGGGCACTTCAAAGAGTAATTTTCAAGAGTTACTTACATTTAAATATGGTTCTTTTCAAGATAGTCAAGCGTTTCTCACTCTTAATTTTGTAATTATGGGAATAATGGAGATTTCTATAAAAATATGAGTTCAGCTTTCTGCCCTACCAGGCTCTGCAAGCACCCCAGAGCACTCCTGGTATGGAAAGTGCTCCATGAATCCATCAGTTCCACCAGGCAGGAATGGGAAAGTTCCCTTTGGTGGGATCATAACTCTGGCATGAGCAGTATTATCTGAGATCCTGAGCTTTATGGAGTTTTTGCAACATAAAACTCGGGCAAAACATTAACACCCAGCCCTCTGGTCCCCTTAGTTCCTGCATAACGACCTTCTGGGTTCCTCACTTGCCCACCCAGAGACTGAACCTGCTGAGAGCTCTGTTCTTGCTCCATGAGCTCCGCTTCCACTTCTGACAGCTGGAAATAGAAGGAGCTGTATAATTGTCAGATGATTACCTGGGAGCAGACCTGATCAGGCTGGCTCTGTGACTCACAAAAAGCTCCCCAGAAAGCACAGAAGAGAGGAGATAACTTTCATGCTGCAGTCAAACCAGCAGCTAATCCAATTAAAGAGAGGACACTGGAATGCAGGATACACCCCTGGCCCATCAGGGCTGATACCTCCTGTCTTGCAGAGCTCAGGCCTTAACACTTCAGCAAAAAAATAAATAGAAGGCACCAAATCTCTTGCTAATAGTGCTGTGCTGTCTGTGATAGAGGGAATGGTCTTGCTGGGCCCTGCAGGGAGCAGAGAATGTCCTGAGGCATAAAAGCTGCTCACCCTTTTCTTCATTTACACAGCAGCTACCACACAGGGAATGAGCAAACCCTTTCAAAAAGCTGCCCTTTGAATTATAGCAATGCTTGTTGCTTGTCTCAGGGAATTCTGAGAGCTTGCCACACTGGGTGCTCGGCAGTTTGTAAAAGGCTTCTGACCTAAACTACTGCCCCATGTTGTTTTTGTTTTAGGGACTTCTGAGTTTTTACTGGAGAATCTCTAGAACAATTCTTGAACATCAGGTAGAACATGTGCCCTTAATACTCCATGGGAAAACAACTGAACCCTCCGTTCTTGGGCAAAAACTTTGCAGCAATATTTCACACAATGTTTGTGTGAAGAGATGGGACAAAAGGGAAACCAAGCTCTGAACAGCCACACAGAGGTTTCCTAGGTGGTTTTTACCCACCTGCAAGGATTTATCTGTAAAAGAACAAAATTTCACTTCGAGGATTGTTGTCAAGATTGTCATTGATGCAAAAGATGAACTAAACATGGAAATGATCCCAGAACAGAAAGAGAAGCAGAGAGATGTCACTGCAACCACCCAGAGCTCAAAGTGGAGAGGATGTGGGCTGGCTCCCAGCTGGGGAATGTGAGCAGGATCCAATCCAAGCCAGTTTAAACTTCTCCTGGATCTGGTCTGGAAGATCTGCAAGGGGTTTTTTTCCCGTTTTCCCTGCACACTCGCTCTGTGCAGTGGACCTTGGGCAGTCACTGACAAGGAAATGGAGACATTAAACACTAGAGGGAAGCAAAAGACTTTGCAGTAACCTCTGCAAAGCTCCCCGGGGCTGTCCCTGGACCTAAACACAAATCTGAGGAAAATGAGACATAACAGGAAGTATTTGCATCCTCCAAGCCCCACTTAAGTTAGAAATACGCGTTAAGGAGAGATACTGCCCCACAGGGAGGGGAAAAGAGGACAGAGGACAGCACTCGTGTGGATTTTCAAACACTTCCATGGAATGCAGACCCTATAAATGATAAATTCTTTGGATTGATCCCAGCTCCTCCTCATCCTGACTCAATCTCTTTTCTTTCCTCTGCTTTTCCTACCTCTCCTTAGCAGCTGCAGCCCCTTTTTTAAAAAAAGGGAAAGTCACACTTGAAGAAATTCCCTACAGGAATTGTCTGCAGAGCAGCTGATCTGCTGAGGCCACATACAGACCTTTAGGAAATTGGAGTTTTTTGCTTAGAAATGTTTACTTGGGTCTTTATCCTCCTTGTCTCTCACTGTTTCTTCTTCCCCTCAGAAATTTGTTCTGTTGATGACTTACAAGTTCCTCTCCCCTGGTAAAACTCTCCCCAGACTGGGAGGCAGAAAGGAGACTGGGACAAACTGGACTTCACTTCAGCCAAGTGGAAGACAATAAAAATATTTTGTTTCAGTGGTCTGCTGGTGTTCTAAATGAGCTTTTCCTTTTCCCCAGCTCTCCTAGAAAGTCCAAGAAAAGATGCCTCAGAAATAAATTAAAAAAAAGAATAAAATTAAAAAAAAAAAAATAAAAAAAAAATATAAAAAATTAAAAAATAAAAAATTTTTAAAAATTAAAAAATAAAAAATAAAATAAAAAATAAAATAAAATAAAAAATAAAATAAAATAAAAATAAAATAAAAATAAAATAAAATAATAAAATAAAATAGGCCTGGACTAGAGTCTGCCAACAGAGACCAGTAAAACCCCACAGCAGCTCCAGCAAGGATTATTTGGGTGCTGATTCACCCCAGATAGGAGGTGCTGGGGAATGGCAGTGGGATTTCCACCAGGGAATAGGGAAGGTGACAGTTTCACCAGAGCTGGACAAGCTGGTCAATAATCCTAGCTTGCTGAACGCACTTATTTTGCCACTTTTTAGTTTCATATCTTGCCTTGACCCTTCAAATCCTTGTCCCTGCAGTGTCCAGCCAGGCTGCAGCAGGAGCTGTTTCCATCAGTGTCCCTGGGAGAACTCTGCTGTGCCAGCTGGGGAAATGCTCAGCGGGTGGAGAGCCCCCCCCCAGGAGCAGAATGTGCAGCAGGAACTTTGCAAGGTGTTAGTCCTGCAAGGAAAAGAGGAATTTGGGCTGGCAGGGAGATCCAGATTCCAGCAGGAAATGTTATCTTCCCTTCTGGACCTACAAAATGAAATCCTCTGGAAGGGCTGCCAGCCTTTCTCTCTGCTGGATGGTTTGAGCTCCATCTCCAGCTGCAGATTTGTTCCTTATACAACATTTCTGGAGAGTTTAAATTCCTCTGGGCCCCCCCCCCGACCCTGTCAAATAATGATTCCCCATGTGGAAATCTTATTGGAATCACTGGAATAATTTACTGGATCCAGTCTGCACTTTGTCAAGCACTTTGGGATGCTCTGAGATGAAACACCCCTGCACAGTTACTGGGAAGAATTAGCTAATGCTGGCTGAGAGAACACCTCCAAAAGGGCAAGAAATAAAATCAACCTGAGCTGGAAAGTCCATTTTATTCTCCTTTATTTCTTAAATGTTTGGAGAATTAACAGACAAACTGTAAAAGTTGAGCAACAATAATAACAATCATCGAGGTAAAGTTCTCACTGAGGGGAGAGATTATAATTATTATTTTAACTAATTGAATATAAAATCTATGTCTCAGAAAACCAGGGAGACTGTGAGGGGGCAAAGTCTGCAAAAGAAGGTAAATAAGTTTATCAAAGTGCACCAATTCATTGGCACGGGGAGAAAATTACTTGGAATAACTCAGGCCAAGTGCTACACACATGAAAAAAGTGTTTCTCCACAAGAGGCAAGTCCCAGATTAGGCAGAGAAAGGCTGAGATAACAAAAGGACAGAGAAAACCAAATCGTTTGGGAAGAAGGAGCAGGGCTCCTGCCCCAGCCCAGAGGGGGAATTCCAAATGGAACCCTCTCATTTCCATGGATTTCCCAGCAGTGCCACAGACTAAGAATGCAAAGTGCAATGGGAATGGCCTCAGTGGCTTCTCACCAGGATTTTAGGGCAAACAGCTTTCAATAATTCCTTTGCATTAAGTAACAACAAAAAAAAAAAATCTGCAGTTTTTTGGTTTTTTTTTTTAATTTGTTACCCAGCGCTTGCCTGACTCTCTCTCAGCCAGAATTTTAATTTGCTAAATTACAGAGTGGCTGCTGGTGAAAGCTACAGTGGTGATCTCTAGGCCAATCACACAACATTCCTCTCCTAAAGGAAAAAGGGCCAGAAACCCATCCCAGGTCATTCCATGTCCAGGAAGAGTTATCCTGGGCCAGAATCCCATCCCATCCTGATCAGGAAGGGTTATCCTGGGCCAGAATCCCATCCCACCCCACCAGGGAAGGTTCCCTGGCATGCCTGACCATTACCCAAATCCCAACCAGTGATCAAAGCAAGGACGAGGAACTCAAAGAGCCCTTCCCAGCCATTGTTTCAGAGAATATATTAAATTTTCCCCCCTTAAGCTATTCTGCAGCCCAGGAGTCAGATAAAATATTGCAATGCCTCTGGAGTTTATGAGTAACCCCACTCTGAGCTTGTGTCTGTGTGAGCTGTGCTGAGCAATTGGAGCTGGCAAGGAAAAATCTCCAACCTTTGACTCACAGACATGAAAGGGAGGGAGAGAGACGTTTATGACTATTATTTGAGACTGTGCCACCCTGATGGAATAAGCGGCACAGCCTCCTACACCTGCAGGATTGCAGCCTGGGTTTCAGGGCAGCATAAAAATCCCTCTCTGCTTTGGGGAAGGGCAAAAAGGGGCTTGGGATCAACCCCAGACCTTCCTCTGCACCAACCCCGGGCACTTTTTGGGGTGGATCTTCAGTGAGGCTAAAGGTAATTGATTACAGATCACAGAAGAACCTGTGGAGAGCAGTAAGAAATCGAAAGATGAGGATCTGCTCAGCTGCAGCTTAGGAAGGCTCACCTCCACCTCTAGTTTCCTTCTATTATTATATCTTTACTGCTTGAAGGCATTGAAAATAAGGTCCCCTGATACAATTATTCTTTAACACAGCCCCCAGTAACAGACATATTGATATCTGTAAAAATGTCCATGGTCTACTTGCCATTAAAAGTGCATTGTTGTTATGTCCCACCTTATGAAGAGCCAGCACAGCCCCTCTGGAGGCCTCACCCACCACATTTTTGGCAGAGCTGAGCTCAGCTTTTGAGGAACCATCCCACCCTCTGAGTCCTGCTGAGCCCTGTCACACCCAGCAGAGATCCCTGGTGCCCACGGGAGGAGGGACGGGGGTCTGGATTGGGATTTAGATGCCTGAGAATGTTTGCAAGACACACAAATTGGCAAGAAAAGGGAAGGGCTGGGTGCTGGAGAGGCTGTCCCAGCTCCATCCACACAAATCTCCCCCTGTGCCACCCCCTCCAGACCACCAAACAGAAGGATAGCAATCCCTGGCCACCCTCACCCAAGTCCCTGTCACCACAACAGGAAACACCTTTTCCTTCCATGCCCCAAGAACTGACAATATTCTGCAGCTTTCCTGGAGTTTTGACTTGCTTGGATTATAACACTGAATTACTTCAAATTTTTTGGCAGCCCCACCTGACACTGTTCACAGGTAGAACCCTCCCCCACCCCCCACCTCAGTCCACAGCCTCACGGCCATAGGAATCCACCCAAAATCCATGGGAATGGACTCATCCCCCTCCTGGACTCCCTTTCTGAGCATCTGGTCCATGAAAATACCTGTTGTTACTCCTGTTCCTCATGGAACTGCTCCCTTTCACCATCTCCCTGGGCTGGGTCCTACCTTTGGTTTGATGTACTCTGTGTGGCCTGGATCCACCCCAAGGCTGCAGAAAAATCCCATTCCAGGTTCCACACAGGAGCTCAGCCCTCTCCACAACATTCCTGGTTCTGATCTAACTGAGGCTAGCATTTACAGCTCTGTGACTGCATCCATCAAATGCCTGCTCCTGCCCAATCTGATCTGGTCTGAAACAGAAACAAACCAACAAACACAGGGTGAGAAATGCAGAGTTCAGCTCTGAGCTGAGCCCTCAGCCACTGGTGTGCTTCCCTTTCCCTGTAAAATGAGGATACTGACATTTCCCCATGGATAAAATGAGGTTTTGCACTGCCATTTGGGAGGGCTGTGCTCTTTGTGCTTCACCTGGTTCATGCAAAGTTCTGTGTGAAATTATTTATGCCAGCCTAGGACAGGGATCAGCCTTTGCCATTGTTATCCTGATGGATTCACCACATGGAAAAATGCCTGGTGTAATGATGGCTGAGAATTAGTGATGCAGGTGGTTTTATTTAAAGCAATAACATCAAAGCAAAACCTCTGCTGATTCAGCTCATAAAAATCATTGATGCATAAAATCCAACAATAATTGTCAAGAAAGAAAAGGGGAAAGGAAGATTGGAAGAACAGAGGAAGAAAAGGCAACCCAACCCCATAAATGCACACAAGACAGTTTAACTTTTTCATGAAGCATTTGCACCCTTGTGTGGGGGAAAAGTGGATGTGGAAAAAATTCTATGGAAATTGGAGGGAGATGGAATTAAGAAAAGGCATCTCTCTTCCACGTTATCTATCTCTGATGGAAGCTTCTGGTCCAGCCAGCAGCTTGGGAGGGCCTTCATTTACAGTACTCCTTCCTGAAATCTGAAAGCAAATGGAAACGAGGGTCAGCACCTGGAGAGAGATTTCAAACCATTCAAAGAAGCACAAAAACATGGATTTCTTTCTGGAGTGACCATTTGCAGTCACTGACAGCCCTGATATTAAAAAGCCCCGCAGTGAGACAGACTGTGGGTAAATCATTGCCCAGATCCCACCCTACAGGATGCAGAAGAAAATGCCATGAGAATTCCATCAGGGACAGCTCCTGGGCTCTCCATTCCCTGCTTGATGTCATTTCAGCCCCATTTATTAAATCCTCATTCTCCTGGAATGAGTCGTGGAATCTCTGAGCTGATCACAAGCCCTGCTTGACAGAATTGCTGTCCTACAAGCAGTGGCACAACCCTGGGGATTAATCCTGGATCAGAAAGAGGAGATTCAGCCCCCAGGGAGGGAGAGCTCTTTGCTTTTCTTGGATGAAGTAACTGCCCATTACCCATAAATTAATTCAACTCCAAACACTCTCCTTCTGCACAGTGTTTTCTGCCCAAACAGCACGCCAGGACATTTTTGGGCTCCATCTCCCTCCCTCTGAGGTCACAATAGAGCAGGCACTGTTCCAGCCCTGCCAGGCTTTCTTTTTCTAATCAAGAAAAATTCCAATTTGTGCCATGCCCAAAGTTTTTAAAAGCTTAATCACTGCTTGCGTCTTGTGGCTCCATGATGAAAGGATGGGAAGAGAGCTGGCTTCTCATTCCTGGTTTTGCAATGAAGTTTCTCATTCCTCTTTGGCTGTGCCTTGGTCACTCACTGATGGATTGTTTCTCCCTCCTGCTGCCCATCCTGCAGCCCTGAAGGTCCCTGCAGCCACCAATTAAAGGGGAAGAAAGTCATGATTACCTTTGTCTAAATCAATGTTCTTTGCTGGGAAGCTTCTGGCTTGCTCAGCCTTCTCCTTCAGGATGTTGTTTTTGTAATCTGTGTGAGAGAGGAGCAGAATTCCCACAGGCATTAGGATATTGAAAGGAAACTAGTTTTGTGAGCAAGACAGGGGTGATCAGTCCTTCCTTGATGTGCTCTAGGTCTGGCACCTCTGATTTCTAGGAATTATTTGTGGGGTTACTCAGCAGGAAAACAGCTCTGACTTCATTTTAGCCCCTGGCATTAATCAGTTGTGCAAACTTCAGCTCCCTGCTCCTCACAGGCACCACGGATCCTTCCAGCTCTGGATTATCCCCTCAAATACTACCCCTAGAGGTGACTGATATAATTATCCAGAGATTTTGCTCTCCTGGGACGCACAGAGAAGGACTGTTGCAACCCACCCTCTGCAATTCCTTTCTTTACTTCCAATTTTGTATCTCTCTTGTTTACTGGGGCCTTTACAGTAATTCTTGGGACCTAATGTTTGTCAGTTTGTTCTTTTAAAGGTTGTACCTTTACTGGGGATGCAAAATAAAAAAAATCAAAGGGACAATTATTTCCTTGCTTACCAAGCAAGTTGCAGCTGATGTGAACTTGGCATCGTGACAAGGCTTCAGGAATCTCAGGGTGGTGCAGACAAGAGCATCACTTTTGTGAAATGGATTCAGTCCAAGTCCCAGCAACAACCAACCCCCGATCAATTATTGACGCAATAAACTGAAGGCTGCACCTTCAGACCCCAGCAAGGAACAGCATCTATCTTCAGGAATGTTGGAAATTCCCCAGATCAGTCCTATAAATCCCCCAAAAAACCACTTTCACAGTGTGAGATGAGCTTCCTTACCCTCTGCCCACTGTCTTTCATTTTACCACGAGTTCCAGGGGGATTTGTATTTTCTCTTCTCTACCACAGGGCCTCTGTTGCAAATTTTCTTCCTCTCATTCTCTGTTTATCTGCCCTAATTGCTGGCACAGGTCTTGACAGAAGGCCCAAATGTTCACTGAATGATTTGACATCCATGGAGGATGAAAATCAGAAAGTTAAACCAAACTGGCTTCAACAGAAGGAGGAGACAATGAACTCTACTAACTCAGGACTTCTCTTTATCCAATTCTGGTCAAATAAAGTCATACCCACTTCCAGAGGTTAAAGAATGGGTTAAATCACTTTAAAATATCCAAGTGCCATTAGAAACTTCAGATTTACAACACTTCTGACCTGGTTTGGTGGCCAGGGATACCTACCCAGCCTGATGTCTTCACTTTTGTGTGGGGTCAGATCTGTCGTGTCCACTGTAAATTCTTTAAGATTCACATCCTTCCTGAAGGGGAATAATGGTGGAAACTGGTATTGTCACATCCTTTAATAACTGGCTCCTTTCACACTTTTTCCCCAATAGCTTTTCTAATGCTTCTTTAGAGAATTTAATTGCTTTAATTTTTATTTTTTTCCCCCCGCTTTTTCTCTGTTTGTCCAGAGCTTAGAACAATGGGCAGCCAATCCTGGAACTTCCTTATCTCTTTCATTTTAATCATATAAAATAAGGTCTGGAGGAGCCCAGGTCCATGATCTTGGCCCCATCTCACAGCAGATCTGTGCATTACTCCTTTCCCACCAACTCCCAAGGACATCTCACAGAAACTTCATCCCTGAATCAGTTCCCAAAGAATAACGAGAGAAAATTTAAGTGCCAAATCAGCCCCACAAACCATTTTCTCCTTCCACTTCCTCCTCCTAACCAGATTTTCAGCTGGTTTAGTCTCTTAGCTGAGGAGGGGGGGCATGAGTCCATTTTACTGCATTCTAAACCGAATTAATAATATTAATTCTATTATAATTAATTATACTTACTCTCCGTATTTCTTCACATTGTATTCATAACCTAAGCAGGAGGAAAAAGCAGAATGAGCAGTCCCAGCCAGTCCAGATCCATTCCTGGATGGATCCATGGATCCAAAACCAGTGCTGTGGGTGTCACCCAGAGATCCCAGTGTCCCTTGATGGAATCCCACAGAGTCACCCAGCACAGCAAGGACCCGGACCCCTGAGTTCCCAAGGGATAAATCCCACTTGTGAAGGGCTTTTCTTCTCCCTTCTACAGAGCAACTCAGCAAATCAGCAAGTGGGATTCAGCCAAAACCTGGACTTGATGACCTTGGAGATCTTTTCCAACCCCCAACAATTCCATGAAATCAAGACCTGGACATTTTTACACCACACCAGCCCTGCAAATCCTCCCCACTGGGCAACTTCCTGGTTTTCCAGGAGGGGATCCCTGCCTGCAGCACTGCTCCTTGCAGGAACCATTTGCAGAACAATGTCCCAGGATGTCCCTCCAAGCAGGACAGGACAGGTTTTCCCTGGACTCACCTCTCTGCCGGCGCTTGCGGGTGATGAGGACCACGATGATGAGGAGGACGAGGAAGAGTAGCAGAGTGGCCAGGATGTAGCCCAGCTGCTGGAAGAAGTGCATCCTGCTCTCAGGGATGATGACATTGATGACATTGTGGCCCCTGACCACATTTGGATCTGAGGGAAGGAAAATGGGATCACTGGAAGTGACATCCAGAGAAAGGCAGGATGACAGGTGGGAATGCTCAGGGGGGTGAAATTCTTCTGAATTGCAAGAACTAAAGGGCAAATCAGTGCCTGATTTACACCACCCTGCACCTCTGGCAGGTGGGACATGCTATGCTCTTCACCAAACCATGATTCCCCAAATTTATCAGGGAATTGGTGATCCCTGGACCATCAGCAGTGGGGAATTCCAGAGCAAAGCCATCCCAGCCAGCTCCAAACCTTCCAGAGGGCGACACAGCCCTCCTCTGGGTCCCTTCCAACACACACTCCACACTGCTCTGGCTCCAGAGCAGCCCCTCCTTGTCAAGGGTTTTAATTTATGGAGTGGGAAGAGTTTTCAATGCCAAAAAATGAGCTTACTTTGAAATGAAATAAAAATCAATAAAATAAATACCTCCCCCACCCCACCCCCCAAAAAAAACACAAAACAACAGAAGTCACGGAGGAAAGCCAAGATTCCATTCCTTTTGTGGGTGCAGTAGAATTTCTGTTCCACAGCACAGGGAAGGGGAACTCAAAACTTCTACGTGGAACATTTTTTTGCAGATCTCAAATAAATAGGTCAATGTTTTACACACGTAAAGAGGAACTGACTTCTCTGCTTGCAGCACTCAGAGAAATGGGCAAAGCCAGCCCAAGCATGGATGGAATCCCACAAGACTTTCTGGGAGAAGGTTTTTTTCCTTCAAAACAGAGCTGAAATGACACCTTCATGCCTTACAGGGAATTTTCACAGAGCACCAGGTGAGAACAGGATGGAGCCCTCACCTCCCATTCCCTTGGGAGTTCCTCCTGCTAATTACCCAGACAGAATAAGGGGAAAAGTGGGGGGGAAATACCTCCAAAGCCACAGTACCCTTTAGCAGATGTGTTCTGACACTTCTGGAAGTGCTGGCACAGGGACTGGTTCCAGTTTTTTGGGCAGTTTGTTCCCAGCATTTAAAAACACCAACCCAGCAAAAATAAAATCAAACCAGGCAAGAGCGAATTGAAATAAACACTCTGAAATCAGAGCTGATTGTTTGCTAATGCCAACAGCAGTCCTAGAAAATCAAAAAGCTTGAGCAACATGCTCTGTTCTGGTGGCCCAGTGCTCTACTCCAGCAGCACTCTGCTTTTTACTGGTATTTCCAGATGCCCTGTGTTCCCTGGACACAATGCTGGAAAATCCATGGGATTTCCACCCTGCCAAGCTAAAAAACATCAATTCAAACCCACTTGCAGAGCTGAAAACAGCACATGTGACAGCTCTGTTTTGTCACATCCCTGCCTCCTTTCTGCTATGAGATGGTGCCACAGCAAACAAAGGAATTCTATTCCTGGCTTTTTGCTTTCCCAAAGTACTGCAAGACGGGGGTAAATTGGGTTAAACTTTAGGCAACACTGAGGAGGTCACTGCAACAGCAAACAGTGGAAACAGAGATTGCATAACTTTGGGCAGTGGAATATATCCCATTTTATAACTGGGGAAACTGAGGCACGGAGGGACAGCTCTGTCACGCCAGTGAGTGTCAGTGCCCTGAGCAGGATCACGAGGTCTCACAGACTCCTCTTCACCCTACACCAGAATTGAAGCTGTGGTGATGAAGGTTTTTTCTGTATCCAAGATCTAATCTCTCAGCACATCTCACAACCTGCCCCACATTCACTCCCAGGACACTTTAACCACTGAAATAAAATCTTGATGGTGTTGGGGGAGAAAATAAATCCTAAGCGGGGGTGTGGGGGGGGGAATAACGGTGTTATTTCCCCCTAACGGCGTCAGGGGGAAAAGCTTAGACCAGAGGTGGTTTAACATGACTTTCCCCAAGCATCAAGGACCAAATTCTTCGGCTGGAAAAAGTGGGGAGCTCTCCACAAACCTGGCAAAGGGTTGCCAATATTTTAGCCCTCATGATGAGACACAACAGATTCTTCAGCCACATGCTGCAGAGCAAATCCCAAGTAAAAATACTCTTTTAGTAGACATCCACCACATTTACACTGCTGAGCCTGAGAGCAGCACTGAGCCCCTGCTTCTCTTCCAAACAGGATGAACTTTCCTGTCTGGGAATGGCTCTGGAGCTTGGAGCAAGGCCAGGAGCTGAGGCTGCTGCCTGAAGAAAGCTCCTTGGTTTGCTTTTGTTGTCTCCCCATTTATGTTGTGCTCTCCAGAATTCCAGGCAGTTTTTCATGGAATGGGGCAATGCCTCAGCCTCCCCTGCTGCACCCAGGCAGGGCTGGAAAAGGAAACCTCTGGATGTCTCCACTGCTTGCACATTCCCACAGACTCAGCACATTTTTGTGTGTGGTGCTCCCAGCCCAGCTGAAGGGTCACTGCCTGCAGGGGATAAAACTGTCCCAAAGCTGCTGCTTTGGACGGTGGAAGTGGCTTTTGCCAGGAAGGGAAATTCCTCCAGCACCACAGCCAAACTCAGCCAGGTTAAATCACTCAGAGATTCCACCTCATTTCTGAGCAGGTAGGGAACTACTCAGGAAAACATCCAGGAAAAAGAGGAATAAATTTCTGGGTGAACGACTCTGGAAACAAGATCTAGCTTCCATCTGTGGATAAGGCTCAAGGGCTGTCTGCAGGAACTCTGTTATTTGGATGTCTTGCTCTCCAGCCACCTCGCCTCAGCACTGCCTGGATTTTCTGGACACCAATCTTAGCCCCAGGGAAAAAGTTTAGGTCTCTATGACTTGAGAAAGTAAATTTCTACAGGAGAATAAACCTATTAAAAAATGTATGAAGCAAATCAAAATTCTATATTAAACAGCCAATAAATATTAAAACACAATGAATATTTTAAAGTGTTAATAAAGAACTATACCCAAAAGACGTTAAAAAAAAATATTAAACTTGGGATTTTTGTTTTCTTTTTCTGCCTGAATGAGGCGTGATGGTTTTGAGTTTGGACAGGCTGACAGATGATAGCTCAGTGCAGTGGAAAATATGAAAATTGGTTTATGGCACACACACACACACACAAAAAAAAAAAAAAAAAAAAAAAAGCTGAAGGGTGGAGTAAAATGCCTGGTGGTTGATTCTGCATGGTCTGGCACCTTGCACAGCCTAAACATCCGTGCAGAGACAAACTGTGGTGAGAAGAGTTGTGACAGCAAAGGCAGGGCTGCTTCAACCCCCTGCCCACACCTTCTCCTGGTCCATAAAAGTGTGGAGGAAAGGAAGCCAACAAAAAGTGAGAGGGAGCTGTACAAAAGCAGGGAACAAACCCATCTGGTTTGCCCCAGGGCCTCTCAGCAGTGCAGAACTGCCCTGGGACAGAGGGGCCAGGAGCTGCCCTGTGCCCTCAGCACTGCAAAAGGGGGACTAACCCTCAATTTTGTTTCCATCTCTCAGGGCCTGAGACAGCAAGGTGTCCTTGATCCCAGGCCTGGAGAGGAATTGTTGACCAAAATGGGAAAGCTGTAGCTAACACGCTATATGGATGCAGGACTACAAACACGTGAGAAAATATAAAAGCTAAAATCCTAAGGCATCAAGTCCAGTGATGGAAGGACATCCCACAGCATCCTCACTGCCCCTGTGCAGCTCCAGGTGAAGGCAGGTGATGGAAACAGCTTGGAATCATCTGGAGCTGAGCTGGCTGAGCTCTTTAGAGCCCCAAAGATGCAGCTGTGGATACTTCTCATAGTGTGGAAAACCCCTCTGTGAGAAGTCCGAAGAATCACAGAATGAACCAGGCTGCAAAAGACCTTTAAGATCCAACCTTTGACTTAACAGCTCCTCATCTACTAAACCACAGCACTGAGCACCACGTCCACCAACGAGGCAGAGGATTCCCGCAATTTTATCCAACTAAAGGGAGAGAGAGTCTGGCTTTTCCCAGCAGGATTTCCTGCAAATTCTCCACAGGAGAAACCACTCACCTGCAGCTGGGGCCACGCTGTGTGTGGTGAGGTTCACCACCTTCCTCTCCTTCTCTGGCTCTGTCACGGACACGTGGTAGATCCTGCGCTCGTGGAGCCCACAGTAGTGGTGGTGCAGGTGGCAGGAGTAGGTGCCCTCATCAGCGCTCTCCAGGTGGGAGATGTGCAGGGAGAAGTCTCCGAGGGCGAAGGCGCCGCGGGTGACGTTCATCTTCTGCCGCAGGAACAGGGGCCCGTAGGAGCGGCGCTCGCCGGACGCGTACAGGTCCACCAAGCGGTCAGCGCGGTCATGGGGCACGCCAGGGGGCTGCCGGTCCCAGTGAACCACCTTGGAAAAACACCAGGTTGACTTTTTTGGTAAAATTTAAGAGTTTAATAAAAGGCAATAGGAGACAAAGATAATAGAGCAAAGATTAACAGCTGGGTGTTTGGCGTTCTGTCAAGAGCACACTTGGAGACATTTTTTATATATTTATATTGTATTAGCTTACTGCATATTTATAAACACTATTTAAATTTATTGCATATTTATAAACAATTCTACATAATTAAACTTTTCTTTAAATTAGTTTACATATTCTAAAAACTACATAACTTTTGAGACTCCTTTTTTTAAACAAGCTCATTTTTTAGTTATAGTTTTAGTCTATTCTTATTATCACCTCTAGTTTTAAGTTTATATTTTCTTCAGACAATAAGTACTAATAGTTAACATATCAGTAACAAAAATTTTCATTATATGTCTGTCAAATGTTATCTTAATTAAACAAGTAGTTTAAGCATAGCTACTAATTATTTTACTATTATGCCTAAGTTTAGTTAAACTAAAAACTATAACAAAAGTACTATAACTATAACAAAAGTACTTTATATATATATATATATATGTATATATATATATACACGACATTTATTCTATTATTTTACAAAAAACTAATATTATAGTATGTATTTGTAAGAACCTGCTGCTCCTCCTCGCTGTGCCGCTCCGTCCAGATGTGCTGGCGGTTGACACACGGCAGCGTCACCGTGCTGCCCGCTGGGGCCACCAGAACTGGCTTCTCGCCATCCCAATACTCGCTGGCCTCCTCACCTGCTGGGGAAACTCAACCTTGGAATGGCCATTTTTCCCTCCTGTCCCTTTTTTCCCGCTTAATCGACTTAAGTTTCCTTCCCAGGTTCCCTTTCCTTGGCCAAAATCAGCAAAATTTTAGGCCAGTTCACTGTCGCACACCGCGATCTTATGGACGTGGCTGATGCGAAGTTCCCACTCGATGCCAAGGGTCAAGGACAGCCAGGCACATCTATCTGAGATTGCTCCCAGAGCCTGGAACCCTGAATTCCAAGTGTCAAGGACAGCCAGGCACACCTGAGATTGCTCTCTTGGAATCCTAAAACTCCACAAGACTGGAATCCTATAAGACACCCCCACCCAAAATCTTGCCACATGGCACAGCTTGAACATGCATAAAACTGAACAACTCTGGCTTTTCCACACTTATTTCAGCAGTTAGTTAAAAAAAAAAAAAACAAACCACCTTTATCCTCTCCATCTTTGGCCATTTCATGAAGCAAGACCACCTTCTTCTCCTTCTAACTCAGAGTTAATCTACTGCTTCAGAAAGCAGGAAGCAAATTCCCTCCACAAGCTAAGAATGGAATGAGGATCTTCATCCCAATCCTCTGAGCAGGAAATGCTTTCCCACCCACAAAGGCTCTAATTACTGGAGGAGCTGAAGCAGCACTGCTCTATGTTTGGCTCTTGAAAAGGAATAACAGAAGAAGCCAGAGCACAGAGGAGCAGACTGGGCTCTCTGGATGTTTTTATTGTGCTGTGAGAGCAGCAGAGGAGATGCAATTCCCCACCAGTAGCTCCACCGGTGTTCTCCAGAGGTTTAAATGGATTTTAATGGGTGCCTGTGTGGATGGGTGGGACTCCCTGCAGCTGCCAACAGCTTGCTTTTAGAGCTGGGCTTAAGGTGGGTTTTTAAGTACAGGCTGCCCAGGGCAAGCTCAGCAGCCAGAGCACAAACAGGTCCTTGTGGCTGAGCTGAGGGTGTGGATTGTCACCAGGGAGGAATTGTCACTAGTGAGGGACTGTCACCAGGGGTGTGCTGCTGCTGCAGCAGGGACAGTTTGGTAACGACCAAGAGCAAACACTGAGCTGAGCAGGCTCCAGGCACTGTTTGGCCAAGGAAGAAGAGAGGTTTGTAAATGAACCTCTGAAACTCAGACAGCAAACAGCACAGAGAGCACCAGGCTCTGCTGGTGCTTCCCAAGCCTCCTGTAGCACCTGTAAAACCTGGAACTGTCTGTACACCCACCTCTCTTGGCGATGACCAGCTGGATTTTCACAGTTTCATACAGGTGGCAGTAGTGATGGTGAAGATTGCAGGAATATGTGCCTTCATCACTCTCTGCAACACCTGTAGAGCAGGGAAGAGGGAGGAATTCCGTGTTCTCTACTGAGACAATGATAATTTGTGTCATTTGCAGTTTCCCAAATCCTTGTCTGGATACAAGACAACTTCATTCTAAGCCATCCTTATCACCAGGGTGGGATAAACAGAAACAAATAATCTCACCCAATATAATGATTTGGTCACTTAATGAAATAGTATGTTTAGTTGGTTTGCCCTTGTGAGGAAGATATTTCTGTTAACAGGTGGAAAGAGGAAGCTGGTTCAGGTTTAGCTGAGAGCAGGCACAGGAACAATGGCCATGGAGTGTTCATAGTTCAGGAACTGAATCACAATCACAGGGCAACAAAAAGCCCAGGTGGCTTTCAGGTGGTTACAGATTCTCTTTCAAAACAGGTCTTTTTCAAAGGAAAATAAAATACTCAGTGCTTCAGAGAACCACACAGAATCACTGAAGTTGGAAAAGAATTCCAAGATTGAGTCCAACCTCAATCCCCACCTTGTCACCCAGCCCAGAGCACTGAGTGCCATATCCAGTCCTTCCCTGGACACCTCCAGGGGTGAGGACTCCACCTCCCTAAGCATCAATTCCCATGTTTAGCAACCCTTTCCAGAGAAAAAAATCCCCCTGTATCCAGTCTGAACCTCCCCTGGGCCAGCTGGAGGCTTCATTTTGAAGCAGAACCAGACAGCTGCCCTAGGTTTGAGGGCAATTCCTCAACTTCTCCTGCCTTGAATCTCCAGCTGAAAGCTCCACTTCCCTAAGTGCCCAAGGAGCAGAAATTAATTAATGTAACTGTCCAGGTATGCATGTATTTGGTAAGAGGGAATGCTGAGAGGATTTTGATCTGCTGAATGTGCTGAGCTGTGCAGGTTTTCTGGGATAGACTTGGAGGTACACAAATAACCAGAGCACTGAGTGCCACCAGTGCACTGAGATTGCTCCCAGACCCTGGAATCCTGAATTCCAAGCATCAAGGACAGCCAGGCACACCTGAGATTGCTCCCAGACCAGGGATGGGGGCTTCCCCACCTCCCCGGGCAGCCCCTTCCAAACCCTGAAATTCCTCCTGAGAATTAGGCTTATTATCAAATATTAAATTTATTTATCAAAAAATATGCAGTGAGCCAACCATTTACACCAAAACCCACAAATCCCATCGAGCCCCAAACCCTCCACGGGGGGGGGAAAAAGGCTCCACACCTTTGATCACCAGTGAGAAATTCCCATCTGCAAAGGCGTTCTCGGGCATGAGGATCCTGCCCTGGTTGTAGGAGCTGTAGACACGCTGGTCCCCAGCTGAGTACATGTCACAGAGCCTCTCCATCCTGCTGTCCCCATAGTAGGAGCTGAGCAGGTCCCAGTGCACCACGCGCTGCCTGTCGTTGAGGCGGTCCTGGGTCCACACCATGCGGTGGCTCTTGCAGGGCAGCACAGCCTGGGAGCCCAGCACAGCACTGATGTTCAGCACAGACACCACCACGCTGGCTGGGTTGGAGGCATCAGCTGGGACTGAAAATCAGGAGCAAACAGCAGAAAAAAAAAAGAGTTGTAGGGTTATGCAGTTAATGGCGTGTGAAGAAGGCACTGGAATGGGAGTCAGGCTTGTGCTGGAATCTCCGCACACTTTTGATTCTGGTTTCAAGACCAGCATGGGGCACTGTCATGGAGAATCAAAGAATCCTGAGCTGGAAGGGACCCAGAGAATCACTGATCCAACCTTATCCCTGCACAGGCACCCCAACAATCCCACCCTGTGCATCCCTGGGAGTGGTGTCCAAAGGCTCCTGGAGCTCTTGGGACTGGGACCATTCCCTGGGGAGCCTGGGCACTGCCCTCCTCAGGGGGAAAAACCTTTTCCTAATAAATAAAATTTTAACACACAGATTTCATTCATGTCTCTTCTCAGGATTGTATACTCGAGCTGTCCTACTCACCCTTCCTAATCCTGACCCCCAGCTTAATCCAGGTTTAGAGACACCAGTGCATGGGATGCATAATCCATGAAAGTTAGGAATGAAAGCCCCTGTGCATGCCATGGAATCAGGGTCCCTCTCACTCTTCATCATAAAACCTGGCAGATTTACAGAGATGCCACTCACCTGAATATGAGCACACAGAACCTGTCAAAGCAGAAAATGAAGAGTATTACTGACAACAAAAGGATAAAAAAGCTACAAATGCATTCCAAGTCACCAGCCACCTCTGTTATTGCTCCATCTATTCTCCCCTTCCCTGTTAATACTGATGTTTATATCTGGCTGCTCCATTTCCCATTCCTGCCACACTTTGTCTACACAGTTAATTCTGTGGTGCTCTGGATGCATCAGCTCTCTCCAACTCACATGACTCAGATCTACACAGGAAGAACTTTGCCAGAGATTAACCAATTTCTTTGATTCTGCGTTTTTCTGGTCCAGTCCCTCCTGTTCCTTGTGTGGGAGGGGTCTAGAAGGTCTCCTGGCATCAGGCTTTTGATTCCCAACACAGATTCCCAACACAACACCACCATTCATCTCTCCACCCAGCCAAACCCAAGTGGATTCCATCAAAATCATTGGAGGTTTTGTCCTGCTAATGTCAGAGGCACAAAGTCCTGCAGACAAAGGCTGTATTTTTATTTTTTTTTTCTAGCACTGGAATTTATGAATTTCAAATTCAACTCCTGACTGGGGGTATTTTAGCACACCCCCAAGTGGTGAGAATAAACTTGGTTTCCTCCCCTTTTTCTGTCATAAAGCACTGGGCAGGGAGAGAAGAGAACAAAAAATGAGCAGCACTCTCTGTTGAACTGCCAGCTCAAAGGCACCGCAGATAAGAGGCATTTTTTTTCTTACAGTTAAAATCTCAGCATCACAAAGAGAAAAATCAAATTTTGGTCCAGGTCTGTCTTCTCTGTATATAAGAAAGAGACATCACAATTCCATCATTTGATTGTCTCTCCTGACAGGCTGCAAAATGTATCAGCCAGTGTTCCACAGCACCAAATTAGCCAGGAAAAATCAGTGTCACTTGTGACAGGCCACCAGCTGCCAGCACAGCACAAGTGTCACCATGCCCAGGCAATGTCCTTGTGGCTGAACAAGTGTGGTTTGTGACATGAACAGCGATTTGTGAGCTGGGGAATGGTGTCTGAAGCTACTTCCAGAGCCCTGCTCGAACAACAAATTGATTTGGTGTGAAAGAAACATCCTCTGCTGGCTCAGGCAGAGGAATGAAGGCATTTACTGCTCTCCTTTCCTCTGGAGAGCTAATGGCAAAAACATTGAGCAGCATCAAATTCCCAAAGCAGATTTATGAATGCAGTGCTGTAAATACAACAAGTGGCAAAAGCTCAGCCACCCAAAGCTCTGAGCTCACACTAGCACCTGGTTCTGCACCTTTTTGGACCCCTGTACCTTCCACCTGCCAGGGCAAGGACCACACTTCTCTTCCCTGCCTCTTCCCAGGTGGAGCTGCTGGAGCCTGAGCAGCCACAGGCACTTCTCCAGCACTTCTAAACACAACTCTCTGTGAAAAAGGGGCTTGGCTGGGATGGAACAGCTTTTAGACAAGAAAAATTGACGTCTTGTGGGTTCTTTTCCCCTCCACTCTTAAAACTTCAGCCAGGAACAGGGCAGGAATGCTGCTGCTTCCTCAGAAAGTCATTCCAAGGCGTTTCTGGTTTGCCCCTCCGTGAGCAGGAGATGCTGTGTCCTGTTGGGACCAGGGAAGATCCTGTGGATTTTATACTCTGCATTTTATAGACTGGATTTGTGACTTGCTGGCTGTTGCCACACAGAGCTGGGTTGACATTGAGCATCACAACAAAAGCAATTCTAGATGAGGTAAACTTAAATATTGGAGCTCAGCACACAGAAATGGGAGAGAAAGGGTTTCTCATTTTGTGCAAACAGAGTCTGGACAGAAACTTTGAGTCTGAACCTGCCCTATGATATCTTCCATAGTTTGACAAAATGGTGTAAATATATTTAAAAAAAAAAAAAAAAAAAAGACATTGAAGCCAAGCAGCAAAATTCTAGGAGGGGAAAAAAAAGGATAACTATTCACAAGAGGCACAGGAACTCCAGCAGACAAAGAAGGAAGAACTGATTGTTCTGATTCCCCAGCTATGCTAGAAATCTGCACACATTCATCAGTTCATGGGTAAGGCTCAAACTTATTTGACAAAGCTGTAAATGAGATCACTCAGAAATCGGAGGAATCTGGGATGTCTCTGACCTCTTGAATGCCTGGAAAAAATGGAATTTAGAACAAGTGACCTTCAATAACCTGAGCAGAGAGCAGCAGTGGAAGGAAGAATGAGATTTTTTCTCTTTTCAGTGTCTTCCCTCTGCTGTGGGACCCTGCTCTGCTGTATGAGACAAGCAGAGCAACCAAGCCCTGTTTTAAAAAGGGATTTTATGACACAGCAGCTTCTGAACAGAGGTAGAACCACAGCCCAGTAAAGGTGACAGCTCATGAACTGCAGCACTGGGGTCAGCTGCAAGCAGGGATTTTGGTAAGCCAACTGCAAAACCAGAGTCTTCATGTACCTGGTGACAGCTCTGACCTCTGTCATCACAGGCCTCAGCTTCTTCACCTTCTAAACCTCAGCTGCCTTCAGAGCTGTCAACACAGAACTCAACTGGGGCTTTCATTTTAGAATTTCAAGCTCCATGGGATAGACAATCATTTTATCTTCTCTGGGTGACATAACCACAAAAAAAACCCAACAAAAAAATACCAACAAAAGACAATTCTGTGCTATCCCCTGACACATTCTGTGCTGATTCAGCAGGATCCCAGAGTTACTCTCTGGTCCCACAGTAGAGGAAGAGGAAAGCAGTCTGGAAAATTATTTCTTAATCCCTTGTAAAAGGCAGAGCCAACTCTTACTTCTTGAATCCCATCCATTTTTCACGTGAAGAATTAAGCCACAAAAAAACTGTGGGCAAACTAGAAGCAAAAGGCTCGGGCTGTGAAAGATGTGTGACATGCTCAGAGCTCTCCAGGTAGTGTCCTTGGAGAATGGCAAGGACAGAAAACTGTCCCCTGAGTCCTCACTGAACAATCCTGGGATAAACTCCCTCCTGGGACACAGGAGCTGCTGCTCAGCTCAGTGCTGGATAAAACCACTGAGTCCCTGTTTCATACTGGGGGATGCAAAATGACCAGAGCAGAAAAGTCCTGCAGAAAGGACATGCTCCTCCCCAAATCTGTGTGAGCCAGATTCCTCATTTCTCCCATGAATCACTTTGTTTAGAGGGGCTTCCATGGGCTCTGTAGGGTGATTACACAATTATGGGAAAAGCAGCAGTCCCACCACACTGTCCCCAAACCCTCTGGGGATGGCAGGGGCTCCATCCTGACTCTTTAGGGGGCTGAGAGGCCCTGACAGCTGCTGATACAGCAGCAGCAAGGTGACAGTGAAATAAATGAGCCCAGCTCTCCTCTGGGAGCCAGGTTTTTTTAACCCACTGAGCAGGAACCAGGAGAAACATCTGGGTTCATCTGGAGGAGGGATATGGTGCGCAAAACAGCTCCTCCTAAACTTCTCCCATTCACCTCCTGTCCAGCCTGCAAGACTCAGCTTTTCAGTAAAACAGAATTTCCCTTCAAATCCCACTGATGGTCAAGCCAGGCTTTGAACTTGGATTTTCTCTAAATCTCCGTGCTTGTTTATTTTTAAAGACTTCCTGGGACAACTTTCCCAGCAGCAGTCTCCCACTTCCAAAAAGGATGTCAGAGCCCTTAAATACCCATCCAGCTCCAACAATTCCAGCCCACCCTGCAGGTAGGAACATGCAGAGAGCAGGAAACTGCAGAAAGGAAAAACTTTGTGTCTCTACAAAGAGCCAATCCCCACCTGGGGCACAGACAGGACCCAGCTTTTATGGGATTCTGAGCTTTAGAAATCCTCCCCTGCCTTGTGAGCTCCCCCTTGGCTGCAGGCCCATGGAATGGTTTTGTAGAGCCATTCCAAACACGGCTGTTCCTCCCTGAGACATTAACACTTGAAGGAGTGGTTTCCGTGCAGGAGGGATAACAGATTTCCTCACAGCATAGATTTGCCTCCTTCTCTCCTTCCCATCCGCACTACTGAGTTATAACCTGATTTGGGTGGGCTCAAACATCAGGGCTGCCTGGTGTGCAACCAGGTAAATCCAAAATGCACCTGAAATTCTGTCAGAGATCATCCATGCTCCCATGGGACCTCCGGCTCTGCAGCAGCCCAACTTGCTATTCCTGCCCTCGGTGCTCTGCCAAACCTGACTGGGAGTCACTGGACTGGTTGTGACAGAAGTGTGGCCTCTCCTCCTGTTTAACCCACCCCACACCCCAGATTTCTGAGCCACTTTAACCCTTCTGCACCTATGACTAATCCATCATTTGCCAATTCCTAAACCTTGCCTTGAGGCATTGCAAAAATGCCGTGGTGACATGGAAAGTGGATTAATTAGGGACCAAAGGGAGAACTTCTCACCTTACTCCACCTCAGTGCTGAGGAATTGAGTGGCCCAGGTGTCAGCCACAGCCTTTTAAAAGGGCTGGGAAGAGAAAGGGGTCACAAGCCCCCAAAAAAGTTCTGCTCCTCACTTCCTACTCTTTTCTTGCACCTTGCTACCCAAAAGTCAATTGTGTCTGTCTTTATGCTGACAAGAGGAAAAGAAACCCAAAAACCACACATCTTTTTTTCCCTCCATCTGAACCCTCACACACACATGCACCCTCAGCTGTTTCTACTTCTTCAAACCTAAAAAAGTAACCTTAAGTCCTGTAAATATGACTGTGAAAGCTTTGCTGTACTCATACCCAAGCTTATTGGTTTTGAATTTGTTGATAGGAAAAAAAAATAAAAAAAAAAATTGCACAAACATGTGAACAGAACTCCAACAACCTCAAATATTTTTCCATTCTCTCCCCAAAAAAGCAGAGGAAACCCACAACTCCCTCCCCTCCCCAGACAAAAAACAGAGCAAATTTAGGAATCTGAACAAAATCTTACAAAGATAACAGCTCAAAATTTCACAGCCAACCCCCAGCCCCATTGTGCAGCTGAAATAAAAACAAGTAACAGACCAGCAGCTCAGAGCTTACTTTGCTGAAGCAAAATCTGCCACAGGAGGAGTTTTGCAAGTTGCTCCATTTCTTCAACTTCTCAGAGTTTTTGCCTCTCTTGAAAAACAAGCTGAAGATTTTTTTTCCTTTAACTTTCTTTTCTGTAACTGGAAAACACTATGACCTCATCAGTTTACATCCCCAGAGCTGAGGACAGCAGCTCAGATTCTGCAGGATTACTCCACCTCCAACTTCCAACTCCCCACCTCCCCAGTCCCACTCCACCTCCTTCCTTTCCCTCACACTTTCTGCAGATCCCTCTCCTCCTTCCCCTCCCTCTGAGACCTTCTGAGCCCTCCCTGACTCTGACATCAAAGTTTCAGTTGAAACTGGAAGTTGGTCCCACACAGCTCTGGGCTGACAAAACAAATCTTTCTCCCTCCCCTTAGGGATGGAACCAATTTTCCTCATGCTTTACTTGATCCAGCTGTTTCTCCCTTTGTCTGGCACTCCTCCAGACTGGATTTATTCTGCTGCCTTCAATAGGGTTTTGATCTTGGTCTCCTCATATGGTTTTACTTCCAGCTCCAGTCTCCAAAGACAACCTAGAAAACAATATTTACCCTGTCCTGTGATTTGTAAGTAAGGGCTGGGTATTTACAGGAAAATTACAATGAGTATAAAGTCAGGAAATAGAGTATAAAATAGGAAATAGAGTAGCTGCTGCTAGAATATTAAAAGTAAAATTACATATAGGAAAATTAAAATATGGTCAGTTTTTCTGTTTTCTTGCATTCCGTTGTCAGGTTATTGTTGCTTATGGTTAACGCCATTTAGTGGATTGGATTTATTGGATTTTACAATTCAGCCATATTAGTCATCAAGTGAAGAAAGGGAATTAAAACTGACTGTCCTTAAATGTCTGTGGGACTCCATAAGAGAATTTAAAAACACAAGTCAGGAGCCTTCCCATGGGATCCATGAGGATAAACTTAATTGCCACACTTGAATTTTTCCTTCTGACATTTTTCTGTCTCTCTGCTCTCCCGGAAAATAGATTCCCCCTATCCCAGAGGGGAAGGAGTTTCAGGAAAGAGGAGAGAATTATAATTATAATTGCCCCCTAAACAAACATTTAAGTAACTACACACTGCAACAAGGGAAACTTTGGGAGCATCCAGATCAGAACTTCACCCAGTCCAGGATCCTGTCTCCATCATCAGACAGAACCAGGACTTCCAAACAAATTCCAAGAAACTGAAGCTATTATTATTATTAGACAGCATGACCATGAAAAAAAACAAAAGCCTGCTGTTAACTTCACACTGTCCAAGACGGATCCAGAGAACTGGTTTGTTTCTAGGGAAAAATCCTAAAATAATCTTCAGATAAGAACTTTGTAAAATTTCCCTGGAAACGCCAACTCTGACATTTCTATGAAGTGAGGAGATTTGGGGGTAGTGGGATAGGAACAGCCCCTCCCTCCACATTCCCACCCTCATCACCTGAGCTGTGGCACCACCTGGATATGAACAAATCCAGCCTAACTGCAACCCTAATCTCACCAGTTTCTCTTTGCCAGCCTCAGGAATGCTCATTATTCCAATCCCAGAACCACCTGCAGGCAGCAAAGGCTCTTGCTCCCGTGTCCCTGATCTGTGCCAGGTGTCACAACAAGGACAGCACTGATCCAGAGCAGCTGCTGGACCAGGAATCTCATGGAGTCTCATGGAAGAAGAAGCCTTTACTGTTGTCTCCATCAGGGAGCTAGAGCAGGCTGTGTTCAAAGCAGCCTGGAAAATGCCTGACTGGGAGGCAACAAAGCTGCTCCCACTGAACAGACAGCAAATCCATCATTCTCTCCTTCCCCTGCTCCCTCCCAACCATGGACAGGACCTTCCAGGCTGCAATTCCAGGGTTTTTTACCACTGTTATAAATACATATTGTGATACTGGCTTTTTGCAAGTATTAAGATGAATATATGTTAGAATAGCTTTTACTATGTCTTTTTCTTTTTTCTCCTGCTAGTAGCTAAAAAGTTTTTAGGCGTAGGTCAAGAAGAAGTTTGGACGTTAGGGCTATGTCCTGTCAGAGCACGGATAACCTCCAGTGAACAGATGATGGGGCCCAGGCTGCTATCAATACTGACTGCCTGTAGAAGAAAGAACCCCAGCCCAAATAAAAAGATTATAAAAGAGACATTAAAACCAAATGTGTGTGCTCTAAAAAGGGAGACCTGAGGAGTGACCGTGCAAAACAGTTCCTGGAAAAGTTTGAATATGCATAAATCTATGTAGCAGGGGATGGTATACAAAGGGTGTTTCAAAAGCACCAGGTGTACCCTTGGCAGAGAGCCAAGCACCCTGCCGTTTTAACCCTTTGCTCTATTATCTTTGTCTCCTATTGCCTTTTTGTTTATATTAAACCTTTTAAAATTTATCAGGCGAGTGAACCTCGTTTTTCACAGCACCTTTCTGTCTCCCAGCTGTGGCACTGCAGAGGTTACTGTCTGCTCCTCGCAGGGTTTTTGGGAGGGAGCAGATTGCTGCGGTTGCTGCTGTCACGGACTGGATATTTCCTGACTGCAAGGAGCCAAGTCCAGGCTGAACAAGGATGAAATCTCCTAAAATCACCCACGGGAAGAGCAGCAGCTTCTCTGGGGTTCACAGAGGGGAGGAAAGGGACACAGGGTTTGCAGATCTCCGCCTTATCCCCTCTCTAATCCTGGACAGTCTGCAGCCAGCCCTGCTTCCTGGGGCTTTGCTACTCCAAAGACATCCTGGAAGAGCAGCTGTGTCAACATTTTTCCTGGTCTAGAAGCTGAATTCTTAACGAGCTTCTCCATTCTGAGCTAAGCCGTGCTCCCCAGCCTTTCTCCTTCCCCACTCCCAGGGGGAATTGGGATTGATTGTCCCAATACCAAGCATCCCTTGGCTGCCCACTGCTCATCTCCAGCTGACCACAAATCCTGACCAGAGAAAGCAGCTTCATCCAGGCAAGGAAAAGGGACTTTCCAGCAGCAACAGGAGTGGTTTTGCAGGCTCTGCACCTGCCATCAGATCAGGTCAGCAGCAGAAGAAAGGCTCCCCTGTTCCCGAAGTTGCCTATTTTTCATTGTGGCAAAAGAAAATCTGTATTTCACACCTAATTCAGATCTAAAGCAGTGGCTCGGGTGGACAAAGCCCTGCTGAAAGTGCAGGGGTCACAAGGGTAATTGGCTTGTGGGAAGCTATGACTGTCAGGAAGTTTCCTCTTTTCAGGCTGCACTGAGAGACTTCCCAAGAAATACAAATGGAAGATCAGCAGCAGTTAAAACTGAGCAAGTGTCAGATTAGGAAAAAGGTCTGATGCCAACGGGAATCCCCCATCCTTAATTGCAATTTTTGAGAGCCACTAACCCTGGGAAACAGGAGTGGAAGTGACCCCTTCCACCCCATCTTCACAGCCATAAATACGTGAATTAAAAAGGAATGTCAGCATTAATAATCTGTTGACACAAATTACAGTACAAGGCCTTGTGTGCAGGATTTGTCAACACTCCAGGCTTATCATCAACAACTTCTTTAAATACAGGACCCAGAGTATTCCACCAGGATCAGAGAAAATACCTACTCATGGGAAGAAGAAAGGATAAAAATCCTGGAACAGAAATGTAGTAGGGAATGCTACAGTGTATGAATAAAGAGTACAAGAGTACAGCTAATTGGCAGTGGCAAAGGCAGCAAGGATTCTTCAAAATAAAATATGGGAAAAAAGAACTTTGCATGGGAACAGCAAAAGAAAGGCAGTGCCTTTCAGGGTTAATTTACACTGACACTATTTTTCACTTGGTGGCAAAGCTTTTCTCTTTAAACCAAATCTTCCAGCTGCCACGAACCCCTTAAGCAAGCCTGAAATAATCCAGTTTAGAGCAAGAACTGTGAACTGAAAGGACAGAATTGAAAGCCAACCACAATGACAGGGCTGCCAAGCAAAGCCTGTCATTACTGCAGGGCTGGAACAAGTCAGGCACCTCTCAGCCCCAGCATTACCCTGCTTGTTCCCCAGCCACAAACACAAAAACCCCTGATTTGCCTTTTCTGAAGGGCACATCCAGAATGACAAGGTGATGGTCTCACCAGATGTTTTTTTGTTTCATTTCACTGGAATCCACTGTAATCAGCAGCCTGAGATGCAGCCACCAAAGCAGCTGAGGCAAACACAGGCTGGGGGATGAGCAGGGCAGAGCTCTGACACCTTTAGACTGGGGTGAATAAAAAAATATCATGGGAACATTAAATACCAGCCCTGGAATAGCCAGAGACAGGTGAAGTTCACAGAAATACCCACTGGCAGTCACTGCCATGCTGTACCCAAGCACTCCTCAATCCCAGGATTGCTGAGGCTGGAAAATCCCTCCAGGATCAGAGTCCAGCCTGTGACCAATCCCCACCTTGTCCCCAGCCCAGAGCTCCGAGGATTCCTGGGACACCTCCAGGGATGGGCACTCCAAACCTCCCTGAACAGCAATTCCCATGTTTAACAGCCCTTCCATGGGGAAATTCCTCCTGATGTCCCCTGGTGCAGCCTGAGGCTTCATTTTGAAGCAAAACCAGAGGAATAGGAACAGCAGGTGGGTTTGGGGCTGTCCTTTGCAGGCAGCTCCTCAACTTCCTCCTTGAAATCTCTTGATTTCAAATTCCTTGAATCTCCAGCTGGAAGCTCCACTTCCCAATAACCCATGGAGCAGAAACTAATTATCATGCATGTTCACGAATGCAGGAATTTAGTCAGATGGAAATGCTGAGAGGGTTTTGATCTGCTGAACTCACTGAGCTGTGCAGATTGTCTGGGACAGACCTGGATGTGCCCAAGTGAGGAGTTAAACTGCATCATCCAGAGTTTTCCAGCTGCATGGATTATTCCCGTTAATCCGTGTGTTTGTGTGTTCTTCCAGCTCTGCTGTCCTTGGAGCAGGTCACAGAGCTCTGTCTGCACCCACAAGGCATCTCCAAAAGCTCCCTGCATTCCAGCACCCTTGGATGGCACAATATTTAAACACCCCCTTTGGCTGGAAAGCTTCAGATTCCCGGGATTCATCTCAAAACCATTAATAGAAACCAGTTACAAAAACAGAGAAATTGCCCAGGAAACCAACGCTGATTTTTTTTTTCTTTTTTTTTTTTTTTTTTTTTTTATTCCAGACAGAAGCAACCCAGAAAAAGAAAAAAAAAACAACACCAAAAAAACAACTGACCAAGAAGAAATGGGAAAACAA